GGGGGGGGGGGGGGGGGGGGACGACCGCAGGAGACTTCCCCCCTCGTTGTTCATCATCTCTCTCCGTGGATGTTGGCAGACGCAGACAGTGCTGACAGATAAATCTCATTTCAGAGAAGTGGGCTAAAATAATTCTCTGCTGCGATGAGTAATCAACATGTTTTGATCCATTAAGTCCTGCTCAGCGGCAGACCACTGAGGCCCACTGACGGGTTACAGGTAGCGCTTTTGTATTTTTAGCCTCTACTGGCAAAAGTGCGCAATGATTAAATCCAAAACGGGACTCCTCCTGCAACCGCTCAAAGCTGACAAAGCCAGGGGAGGTGTCCTTGAGGGAGAGCGTTGCCGATGGGGAAAGCGAGAGCGAGTGCTGTGCTGACCCTAAAGCCTCTTCCTCTGGACATACTTAACACACTGGCCCCCCCACTTGACTAGAAGAAAGCGGCACCGGCAAAGGCCCGCTGAGAAACAGCAGAGCGTTTCGGGAGTGAGCGCTGGGAATCTGGAAGACGGCGCCCAAAAGACATGCTTCCCCTGTTGGAGAGACTGCGAAACCTGGACAGCGTTATCTACGTATCTGCGATCCCAATGGGGAGGACAGCGTGTTCTTGAAACTTGAAAGCACTTCGGAAGCTGTCACAAACACATGTGAAGGAAGGTAGATGGGGGAAATGTGTGGAGAGCGCATGCTTCTATTTAAGTGCACGTTTTTTACTCTGTGAAAAACAACAACAATGCCATCTCTCTTGCTGATCCAAGCGTTGCGTCGACAATACCTGTTGTCGGAACGATGCCGTCACTGCCCTCGCTGCAGAGCCGTGAGAGCAGGCTGGTCTTCCCGGCGCCCGTCAGGCCGATGCACACCACATCGTACTCTGGTCTCGGCGGCGGCGGTCCTTTACAGCACAGTGCCCGGAAACACTAAGACGGAAAAAACAAACAGTGAATTGATTGGGAAACAGAAGAGAAAGGGTACCTGTGCACGTGGGAGGGTGGCTAGGATTCGGCCTTTTGTTCCACGGTAACCCAACTGCATGGTTTATAAAACACTTCGAGATTGATGTAAGAGGAGCAAAATGTTTAACAACATTTCACCAGAAAAGTTTTTTTTTTTTTTT